TACTAAAGTATAACAGATTGTGTAGCTAGTTATGGGAAAGTGTGAAACTCAACTGATAGTACTAAAGTATAACAGATTGTGTAGCTAGTTATGGGAAAGTGTGAAACTCAACTGATAGTACTAAAGTATAACAGATTGTGTAGCTAGTCATGAGAAAGTGTGAAACTCAACTGAAAGTACTGAAGTATAACAGATTGTGTAGCTAGTCATGGGAAAGTGTGAAACTCAACTGAAAGTACTAAAGTATAACAGACTGTGTACACAATTTACATGTTATCATCAGAGATGGAAAAGTGCAAATACACATAGTAAACACCCTACTTTACAGGTTATGTAGTTACAGTCACAGAAGATGTAAACCTTAACAACAACAATCTTAATATTCCATGTAATGTAAGCTACAAGCATAAGAAGTATAAATCTCAACAACAGCCTTCTGGTGTTCCACCTTGTGGAATTAAAGACATAAGAATATTTGAACCTCAAAACCAAGCAGTTCAGTATAAGAGCTTGTTTAATTCTGTCACATACAAATTGCATTAACAGTAAAACTGACAAACAGTTCTAACAACAAATAAGTTACAAGGATCATCTCTTCAATCTGTAACATGTATTACTTATTTGCTAAATTAATGGTCTTAAAATGTCAGGCCTGCACTACACCTGAACATAGAGTATGATGAAGAATGTATTCTTTTACACATTTTGTCAGTTAGTTCATCCAAAGTGGACTCAATCACCAGGGGTGAGCAATTCTTTTACACATTTTGTCAGTTAGTTCATCCAAAGTGGACTCAATCACCAGGGGTGAGCAATTCTTTTACACATTTTGTCAGTTAGTTCATCCAAAGTGGACTCAATCACCAGGGGTGAGCAAGACATGTAATATAATGGAAAAAATAGCCTTTCAAAATAAAGAAATGCTTTAGCTGTATAAGAAGTCAGAACCTACTGTACTGTATTCTTTCCTTTGTTGTCTTATTATCATTAAATTAACTTTTCTATTCTCTGTATCAAGGGTTTAAACAGAATGTGGTAAAAGAGTTTATAGCCTAGTCTCTCTTATGACATAAGTTGTTTTATTTTTGGTAAAACTACCATTGTTTCAGAAGATCTGTTCTTTATGTGAATACCAAGCAAACTGTTTTATATTCGACTTCAAAATTTGCGGACAGCTTTCACCGAGGTGAGTTCCTTTCATCACTATGCAACCTGTGATTGCTTACTGATACCTGATTTTTATGAAACATAAAACAGAGGGCTTTTATATTTGGTAAGAAGGCAAAAAATGTTTATCAAGTTAATTATATTTATTTTATAGATAAATTCATATAATTCTCAGAAAACCATGTTCACTCTGACAACTTAACATCACTATGAAAATTGAGTCTTTTTTTTTTCACTTCATTTTCTATCAAACATTTTAATTTGCTGTACACAGAAAAAATGTTTTTATTTATTTATTATAATAAAACATCAGTCATACTTTTTCAGTGGATTACTTTTATCAGTCATTGTTTTTACATATATTTACAACAATATTCACACTTGCTTTATGCATCATTGTTTTTACATATTTACAACAATATTCACACATTCTTTATGGTAGATCATCCATTTTAAAAACAAGAGAATGAGCGATGCTTTCATCCTTTTGGTAGTTTAGTTTGACATCCAAGAATCTAAAAAAAGTAAATTTTGTTAATTAAACATCAGCAAAATCAAATTCATCAGGAATAATCACACTGTTCATATTGTTTTATTTTGTGAATACCATGTGTATACATAGACTGAGTATGTTATGATAAAATTATTTTAGAGCCCTATCATGTCATTATAATCCATTCTTCCATGTCCATTCATATTATATCTGATTACCTTGCATCTTCACAATAGCCCTGCAGTCTACTTTACATTTCAAAAATACTATCATGTCCCAAACACACAACTCCTACCTGCAAGTATTCCATAATGTATCTAGTCTAGGAAGATGCCTGTTTCAACAGTATGATTGTACAGATATACATAGATGGTACAGCCAGTGGCTTGACCAGCATGTCTTGTTATGAAATAGCATGCTTGAGGATACGTGACTTGTGTCACTTTTCCTGATGGAGATCCTTCTTGACCATGTTGTGTGTATATAGATAGTACAGCCAGTGGCTTGACCAGCATGTCTTGTTATTGAAATAGCATGCTTGAGGTATGCAACAGTTGACAGATTTGTTGTGGAAGCAACTTGTGGATATGTGACTTGTGTCACTTTTTCTGATGAAGATCCTTCTTGACCATGTTGTGTACTGTTGCCTGGGACATGTGGATATTTTGCCACTGACCTTTGTGTTCTTTGTTTCTCACTTATTACAAGATGCAGCATACTTTGCTTCCAAGACTGGGATGTGATAAGCTGCAGATCTCTTTCTGGATGGTTCTAGTGCCCCACGTTAATCCTTGTTCTTTTGTTTTTCAATGCCATTAAGTACAAGTGAGAATCCTATCTGGGAAACTTTAAATCCTCAATCTGAAAATTCTTTATGACCTGAGTGTACAAATACTTTGCATCAGAATGGGCTGTTACATACCCTTCCCAAACACAATCAAATTTCTATGGTGTCACACTACATATGAACACCTAAGAATGTCAAAATATCGTTTGAATATAACATACTCAACCCTTTGTATTATGAATAAACAGCAAAACTGTTACATTTCAGAAAATCATAAGCATAGAAAATTTTTATAAACAAGCTTTACTTGAAGCTGCTTTAGAAAACTAAAATCACTTCCTTGACCATTATTTCACAAAATAATGTACTAGCCAAGGACTTGTTAATGCAAATATTAAATCTACAAATGAAACAATAAATATGAAACATTAGCATTTAAAATGGGTTACTTAGTGAGAATTATGGCATTTTCCTTTTTTTTAAACATACTTTTCCTATGGTCATGGTATTTTACCATTTTTTTAAACATTAATGTTTTCTGTGTTCATGAAACTTTTTAATTTTTTGAACACCAACTTTTCCTACGAATTTCTTATATAATACATAAAGGTTAACTGTGCATAACAATTCTTAATTTTTAACTGATTGTCTTAGTTGGAAGATAGCTAGTAAACAGTGTCCACTGCCAACTCTTGCCTAACTGAAAACTGGGATTTGACCATCTGACTTTAGTGCATCTATGTCCCCAGGGTGTGAAGCAAGTTTTGTCGTAAATGATGCAAACCATGAACTTTTGGATTCACAGTGAAGGCACACAAAACACTACATCATGCCCAGCACAATACTCTTCAAACAATACCAAATTTCTTAGATGTTTCAAATGATGCTTGGAAATAAAATGTAATAAGTAGAAATTGTTTTCTTTAGGTTATTCAGATTATTACGCCGATGATCGAGAATCAGTGCAAAGAACACAAAGTAGACTTAGAGAAAACCAAGTTTTATAGATGAAACATAATGCTCAATTCTTGACATGGCTGATCATGCTTGGGTTAGCCATATCATAATAATTCAAATATTCAAAAATCATTATAATATAATGTGATTCAGCCCTCTGTACATATTCATATATTATAACAATGTCATGTTTTATATATATATATATATATATTATATATAGACAGATAGATATACTTATATTTCAAGAAATTCAAGTTATAAATACTTTAAGAGTATAATATAATGTAAAAAAACTGTTCAGTAATAAATAATATTTATCATAAACATTAACTGCAATTTTCCTCTACTAACCTACGAAACTGTTGATTTGGCTGGATTATTAACGATCCCTTTAATATGGTGTCTTGTTTGACATCCGTCTGTGGAATACGGAGAATGCTGTGACCCCAGTGAGTTTCACTGATAACAATAAGAAGAAGATTGTTGAAAGTGCTGATAAGGAAAACTGTTTAACATATGTGACTTGTTCTCCTATAATACACAGCTAATAAACAAGATTACTTAGAAGCAAGTCAGTGAGTTAAATTTTCAACATGTATTTATATTATTAATAATAACATAATTGGTTTCACTATAAACACTGTTCACACTAATAATGAATAGGACTGTTCAATGAAGAGCCATTAGGTTTCACTATAAATACTGTCCATATTAATAATAAATAGAACTATTCAACAAAGAGCAAGTAGGTTTCAAAATAAACACTGTATACATTACTGATAAAAAAGGATTGTTTGACAGGAAGTTATTAAGTTTCAGTATAAATATTACTTGCATAGCTAAGAAAAAGAATTGTCTGGCAGTAGGTCACAGGGTTTTACTGTTATGATTGTTTATTCACCTGATAAACAGGACTTTCTACAAGCAAGTCACTAGGTCTTACTGTTAACAATATCACTGGTTATATTCCTGATGAGCAGGACTGTCTACAAACAAGTCACTAGGTCTTACTGTTAACAGTACACTGGTTATATTCCTGATAAACAGGACTGTCTACAAGCAAGTCACTAGGTCTTACTGTTAACAGTACCACTGGTTATATTCATGATGAACAGGACTGCCCACAAGCAAGTCACTAGGTCTTACTGTTAACAGTACACTAGTTATATTCATGATGAGCAGGACTGCCTACAAGCAAGTCACTAGGTCTTACTGTTAACAGTACACTGGTTATATTCCTGATAAACAGGACTGTCTATAAGCAAGTCACTAGGTCTTACTGTTAACAGTACCACTGGTTATATTCATGATGAGCAGGACTGCCTACAAGCAAGTCACTAGGTCTTACTGTTAACAGTACCACTGGTTATATTCCTGATAAACAAGACTGTCTTCAAGCAAGTCACTAGGACTTACTGTTTACAGTACCACTGGTTATATTCCTGATAAACAGGACTTTCTACAAGCAAGTCATTAGATCTTACTGTTAACAGTACCACTGGGTATATTCCTGATGAGCAGGACTGTCTACAAGCAAGTCACTAGGTCTTACTGTTAACAGTACCACTGGTTATATTCCTGATGAGCAGGACTGTCTAGCAGTAACTCACAAGGTTTTACAGATACAATTGTTTACACTCCTTATAAATAGGACTGTCAAAAATAAGGCAATAAGTTTTAAACTGCCACCAATGTTTATATTCCTCATAAACAGAATTGTCTAGTAATAATTTGCTGGATTTCACTGCTACAGCTACTTATACTCCTGATAAGAAGGGCTGTAACAGGAAATCACTTAGTTTCACTAAAAAGATGTTCATATTGCTAATAAACAGGACCTTAGAGTTTATCTATTATGACTTTTTATACTCTTGAAAATAGAGCTGTGAAGAAGGAAGTTGTGGGTTTTCACAATGAAAAGTGTTTATATTAATTATGACAAAACTTGTTTCGGAACAAGCTTTCTTAGTCATGTTGAAAACAATTATTCAAATAATTTATAACCAATAAGGAAAAGTATAACTGCATTAGAAATTGAATTATATTAAAAAAAAAAGAAGGAAATAAAAGCAATATTTCCACTTCCTTTACAGCACAATTTCTTTGAAACCAAATTGTACACAATCTTTTGACAACCTTATAGTTCTTTGACATAAACATACTCTGTGATTCTATGTTTTTAATACATGTCTTATTTAGAACATATTTTTGTGCTCTCTTTCCTCTTCCTAGCATCTTTGTTTGAAATGAATGTAAACTGTCTTTTGAATTCAACATATGACATCTTTGTTGAAACCTAAATGTATATTACATACATCTGTATCTTTCCACTTCCTGATAATACATCTGTTTTGAAACCTAACTGTATCAGTCTATAATATGCATCTTTTTACTACCTAATAATACATCTTTGTTAAAACATAAGTGTACTAGTATACAATATGAATCTTTTCAGTTCCTAATAATACATCTCTGTTGAAACCTAACTGTATTGATATACAATATGTATCTTTGTTTGAGCTTAACTGTACAGTATGTACAAATCCAAAGTAAATTTCTAAAGAAGTTATTGCTGAAATTCAGGATGTCAAAGTTTTAAACTAGTAGGAAACTAATAATGGCTGGAGACGGCTTAAATGGGTAATGAAGAAGTTTTTCTTCATTACCCATTTAAGCCGTCTCCAGCCATTATTAGTCTCAAAGTGGGTTCCTCGTCATTGAATTTGAATAGTAGGAAACTGCTTCAGTTCTAATTATACTTCTTCAGATTTACAACTCATCTTACCTTTGGTATGGTGAAGTTGACAAGACTAATCCCCCAGGAAACTGTACTGTAAACCACACTACAAACCCATGGATGAAGTTGTAACCAAAACACTTGCATTCAAAGTCACCCTGAAAATATGCAAACCAGGAATGCTAATCTCAACACATCAATGAAAACATCATACTTTATATAATATACATGTAATGATTGCTAAGAAAATTAAAACACAAGCATCTTGAAAGGAGGAGGCTTGTTCATTGACTAAGATGTCTTAATATGAGGTATCCATTAGCATTTTTTAAAGATTTTATAAAGAGGAAATGAAATAATTTTTCAGACCTACAGTAGTTATTTTCTTTTGCCATGCTGCTGGGTCTGAAATGTTTTCTAAATTTGTAATCAGTACTCTTTTAAATTCTCTCTTCTTAGAGGCTGCCACACTGACATGAAACATTATAGACTAACAAATGTCCTGATATTTCAAGAAATAATTCATGCAAGTATCAGAATATTTGTATCAAATTATTGAAAATTGTGTTTTGAAACATATATTAAATACAAAAAAATATGTTCAACAATTTTAAATCAATTTTAAGCCATGGTTCCAAATAATCATATATAATATTCAAATGGAAAGGTACATAATTTAATTATGGTTTTACTAGCCCATTAAGTAACCATGATAACGATCCTATCACAGAGTTGCAAGTGAAAACAACAGGCTAGAGTTGTAGTTCTCTTTATGATCTTTCAGAACTCTATGGAGTTCTGAAATTCACCTGCAGGATAGTCATAATTTTGTTAATAACTTACCTGTTAGGGAACTCTCCTTTCAAATAGACTTATGTCTCTATTTTTTTTTTTTTGCCTTTAATAAGATAATGGTTTAAAGGTAGATTCAATATTTAGGTCTCAGAATAGATGATTTGTAGTTTTGGTGTGGAATCTACAAAACCTTTTCCTTTGTCAAATACTTCAATGATGAGATTGTGATCATTACCTCCACCACTGAAGGGATGAATGGAAGTTATGTTTTCACCTGTGTGTCCGTGTTTAATTGTATAATTTTTAAAACCCATAAGAATACCATTAGTACAACTTGCACAACCTTACAGACAACCACTAGTATATATTACTTGACCTAACAGATTACCACCAGTACAACTTGCATGACCTGATAGATTACCACCAGTACAAATTGCATGACCTGACAGATTACCACCAGTACAACTTGTATGACCTGACAGATTACCACCAGTACAACTTGTATGACTTGACAGATTACCACCAGTACAAATTGCATGACCTGACAGATTACCACCAGTACAACTTGCATTACCTGACAGAATACCACCAGTACAACTTGCATTACCTGACAGATTATCACCAGTACAACTTGCATTACCTGACAGAATACCACCAGTACAAATTGCATGACCTGATAGATTACCACCAGTACATATTGCATGACCTGACAGATTACCACCAGTACAACTTGCATGTCTAGACAGATTACCACCAGTACAACTTGCATGATCTGACAAACCACCAACAGAACTTTTTAGTATCACCTAACAGTAATCAAGTTTATATGTGCTAATATTTCAAACAACTTGAGATGGCAGAGAAATAGCACAAACATTATAGTTTGTAATGAAACAAAGACTGCAAAATTCTTTGAAAGTTACTACAAATTATCCTGTCATATGGACATTTGCTTGAACTTAAATTGTAATATATTATTTACAGCATTTTTTCAAAATTATTCTAATTTCTTTTATCATATAATGTTTTATTTCAAAGTTACACAAGAACATATTTTACAAAATTTGAAACATGACCAAAAATAATATTGTATTCAACTTTACATTTCTTCTTCTTTTCTTTAAAATTAAAAAAAATCTCTGTTGTCACATAAAATTCAACTTGTAATTTGAAATCTTACATGTACATAACTAGTAAAATATTTGACAAATCAACAATAAAACAAATACTACAATGGATATAATAGTCCCTTCTATCTCTATACATGCATACATGTGTGTGTTTATATGTGTCTATATATACACCTGGAAAAAGTTAAGCACCTTCGTGTTTTTTCAAGTGATTCAGATTCGACGTTCTTGTGACTGATTATAAA